TTCTGCTGTGCTTATATACCTAATGTTACACAGGAGTTTGGTAGATCCAATAGTTTTTCTCAGTATTTTGGCCTCTTTGCCCGTCTCACTACATTGACTTGGCCCTAGCTTGAACTTGGCATTTGCAAGGTTTGAGAAGATTCATGCTGAGAAGTAATGGAAACAGAAAGATAAAAGATGCAACTAAATCTGAAAATGCTACAATAGTTACAGTGATCATATTTAGAATTTTCAGGTGACAACTTCTCACAGATACAGAAAAAGTTTGCCTCTTTTTCACAGTGAGAGATGTATGAGGCTAGACATGTACAATAACTAGGGGAAAGTAGGCCCAGCCGAGAACACTGACAGCTGGTGTGAATGGGAGGCAAGCATAGCGTCTGCAACAGGGCAGGTAAGAATGAAGAAGAAGCATCTTCACCTTTGGTTGCAGAAACCAACTCAACTGGGCTTTGAGGGAGGACTGGGTGATTTACAAAATCCAGTAGATGTGGAAAAGTTGAGTGCTGTGGTGGGGATGCAGTGAGGGTGTGCCTCAATGTAGTGGTCAGGAGAGAGCAAGAGAAATTTAGGGGCAGCCTGTGTTGTTAGGTCTCTGGGCAGAGACTCTCTGGTGGGGTCCAGAGATAAGCCTGCAGTTTGGTGTCTCCCGAGTCCACACTGAAAGCCATGAGGAAATACTTCTGAGCTCTCTGTGTTTCATTAGTCCAAATTTTACCTTAGAATAGGTAAAGCTTCTTCTTCTTTTTTCTTCTTCTAAAAAATCAGTATATGTTACCATGCAACGCTTTTTTGTCATTGTGTTTTTCAGCATTTGCTCAGAACTTTTCACTGGTTTTGTGCTCTTCATGAGCTTGGTTCTGCATCTTGACAGTGTTGATGATTTGCTGAAGGTTGAAAAACAGAAGTATTTGGTAGAAAATTCTGTGTTTTAGGGTTTGAATCTGCTAGACCATAATGGGATGGCTAAGTCTAGGTAGCTCTGGATATAGAATATGCGGAGGGAATTGGAATGTTGATTTGGGGTTGGGTCAGGCTGAGGAACAACCTTAGGAACTGTGATCCAAGGATGAGTTGCTAGTGTTGGCTACACGACATTGCAGGAGCGTGGGCATCATCATGACCCTGGAGAGAATTCAGGTTGATTGAGGGCTTTTACTCATGTAATTTCTCTTGCTTGGAACTTACTTCTTTTCATGCAATGCTAACTTAAAAAGTTAGTATTTTCTCCAATACTAGTTTAAGAATTTTCTTAACAATTCTTATCTAATCAACTCATTCATTCATTTATACATTTATTAAATATATTTCTTCAGCATGCAAATGTTTATTGGGTACCAAGTGCCAAACACTGAGCTAGGTGCTGGAAATTCAAAACCGGTAAGGCCTTCATCTCCATCCCCAAGAAGCTCATTACTTAGAGAATTCTCACATCAACCCACCTGGATTGGGCCAGCACAGTCTGTCCAGTCATTCTTTAATATTCATGTAATTGGTTTGTATTCAATTTGTTGTTTTCATTCCTAGTATATTCTCTGAAGTGGCCTGCCTCCCCTGAGTGACTAGACATTTTTATTAGTAAATATTATGCTTTCTTCTTTCTCTCTTTACTAGTATAACTCTTTGTAGATCCTGATATTTTGCAGAGAGTGGGGCCCAATAACACTTAACTAATGTTCCTTCTTTCCAGGGTGCATGAATGTTGTCAATTGATAATTATTTTTTACACATGGTTACTGGTATTGTTAATAGGCATTGGAAGGGTTTGGGAGACAGGCTCAACAGACATGAAAAGGGTCACCAACACAACCTTTTAAGTCATCTATAGACTAAACACAGCCTCTATTGTCCATTTATTCACCAGGTACCTTAAGACACTTCCTTCTCAAAGTACCACAGTATGTTTGGCATTGGTTTCTAACGACAGCGGCGTTAGATGAAGGCTCCATCTATCTGGGTATCTTTTCTCTGTGTTGCAACTGTTCAAGAAGTACAGCATTAGGGAATTCCCCTAATGAAGTGCATAAACAGTAACTTTCCTTCAAACTGTCAGTGAAATGCTGTTACTCAAGTGAATTTCAGTGACCCCCTTACTTTAGAGGGAGCCTAGTGTGGGAACAAATTTTTATGGATAATATACTGTTTGCTTTGCCATGCTGATAATTTCCTCCTGTCTTTGAGGCTGTCAAATAACCAGGAAGCTTATTGTTTCTTAGGACAAAGGTATTTGCAGAGAAACTAATCAAACTATTATTATTATTAATCTCATTACTGAGGCATCACCAGTGCTTTTGTGCATTTGAGGCTACCAAATAGATTTAAGTTTTATTCTGAAAATGATGGAGGCATACAGGAACAAAGAAGCTTATGAGCAAGGGGTGGGAGACTGGTTCTTTCCCGGCTGGGGCACACTTGTGTTTGGGAGAACTGCTGCCTCATTCTGCAGGAATGCAGCCCCTTTAGGGGTCTCCTAAAGGTAACTGTGGGCTACCATTGTTAATGAGATTTTTTTTTCTGATAAGGGCACTGACATGCTCCTGGAAAAAATGGACAAGGAAAATTCGTTATAGCACAGACAGAGGCTACTAACAAATGAGATGAGATTTTGCCCTTTGCTTTGCTTTGCTGAGAATCAAGAGGAAGAAGGGGAACTGTGATGGGAGGGAGAGAAGTGCTCTCCTCCCTGTATCCATATCCATAGCAATCAATTGCAGGATGACAGATGCAGTATACCCATATTTCATCCTCATGCATGCTTTTCCTGTCTTGGACTGGCCGTCTAAGTGGCTAGAACATTCAACCACAGAGGCCAAGGCTGAATCTGTTCCCATAGGGAACAGTGAATTTCACGGCTCACATCCTGCCCCAGGAGGCTCTGCCCAAGTATAGCAAATATGTTACAAATATTGCATGGGACATGTACTAAAAAGATGATTTGTAATTTATCTGAAATTCAAATTGGACTGGTTGTCCTGTATTTTTAATTGCTAAATTTGGTAACCCTACTTAGGGCAGAATATGAGAGATGGGCTCCAAAATACTACTTCTACCTTATAAGAGCTGTCCATGGATTACCTGTCCTTGACCTCAGTCTTCACCACAGATTAACTTTGGAGCAGACATGTACGTAGACCCTGTTGTTTCCAGAAAGCTTCTGGAAGAGTGCTCCTGTCTTTCTTGGGTTTACTCTTACCACCTCTAATGACCACAGCCACCTGAAAATGGGTGTTAGACTGGTATGAGAAGATATCCTGTGGGGTTTGGAGGTATGTTTTAATGTCGAGGCAACAATAACAGTCTCGATGGTTGGGGAAGTGTGGACCTTAAAGTTGGGGAGAATTGCCCTAACTGGTTTGGCTCAGTGGATAGAGCGTCGGCCTGCGGACTGAAGGTCCCAAGTTCGATTCTGGTCAAGGGCATTTACCTTGTTTGCCAGCACATCCCCAGTAGGAGGTGTGCAGGAGGCAGCTGATCTATGTTTCTCTGTCATTGATATTTCTAATACTCTCTCTCCCTCTCCCTTCCTTTCTGTAAAAAATCAATAAAATATATATTTTAAAAAAGGTTGGGGGGAATGATTAAGGTGGGTCAGGGGGGAGAGTGGGGCACATAAAGAGAGATGCAGCCCAAATGCACCTTGGGTGCACCCAAAGGAGAGACTTGTCCTTCCCACCCCTTTCCTCTCTATCTCTTCTTCTCACACTCTTCCATTCATTCTTATTTTCCTGCTTGTTCCCTTCCTTTAGTATCTGAATAGTTTACCAAGGATTTAAGACTGTTTCTCACATGAGCAGTGTTTATTGTGAGAGCTTGTAGAGCCCATGAGGAGAAAGAACCCTTCAAACCAGGTCTTCCAATGTTCCTGGGGAGGATGAAGATGAAGTGGGCAGGGACCTTCTTTCTCTGTTTTGAACCCAACAACCTCACATACTGAACCAGGCATTAGAAAGTTAAAAACAAAACAACAACAAAGGAGCACAAAAATCTGACATTTGTATAACACTTCAAAGCTTATGAGCAACTCCCCATATAATATTTTCTTTAATTCTAACAATTTAAAATTGTTACAACACTAGAGGGGCTAAAGGACTTGCAAAGGCCACTGAGTGACAGAGCTAGTTTTTAATATTCAGGCCAGCACCTTTCTCTGCAGGGAGGAAGGCAGAGGACACAGAGATGTGTGAAATGTTGGAGAGGTACAAATGGAGCCTACAGACCATTCCTGTCTCTCAGTTTCATGATAAGCACTGAGCCCTTGACCACCTGGCCAGCTCACAGGAGGGTCTGGAACAACGGAGCTCAGACAGAGTCCTCTGGAGAGAGTAACTGCTCAATGCGAGCTTCCCTGCCTGGGTCTGGGGCAGCCTCTTCTTGGGGTTCTTTCTCCTGCATGGAGCCACAGTGGTGAGTGCTTCATGTGCAGAGCCCCAACTGAGTTTCCAGGGAGCGGAACATTGCTGGTCCCTGCCTCAGGGTGGGTTGTTGAGAGAACTTGGGCTAGAAGCAGACATTGCAAAGGAGAAGTCAGAGAACCCAGGCAGCAGCAACTGAAGAGGGAACCACACCCTGGGGAGAGTCACAGTTTCTCACCAGTTCCCCCTGCCGCCCTGTCTCTGGAGAGCAGCATTCAGTGAAATGGGCCACTGAAGTGGCTTCTGGGCAAAGGACTGAGGGTTGCCTTTCCCTCCTGGGACCTCCCAGCTCTGTCTCATCCACAAAGACTACTTTGATATGGCCTCTTTCAAGGAAGTGGCATGTTGGAAATCAGATATTAGGCTTGAAAAAGCACATTTGAATTAATATTGGGAAGGAGATAACCAGATCAAGGGGCAGCTGACAGAGCTGGGCTCTGAGACAGGTGTGGAGGTGACTCAGGTTCCTGGGTGTCCTGACCCTCTCAGGGCTGTCACGTGCTCCCTGATGGCTTCCTCTTTCCCCACAAACTGGCCCTGGGGAAATCCCCACTGGGCACTATAAGAAGGCTCTGGACTCGGTGCAGAAGCCAGCTGCTCCAGCCAACAGCACAAGATGAAGCCCGGCCTCCCTTTCCTAGAAGCACTTCTGTTCCTCCTCGGCCCAGCTGCAGGGGATTTGGGGACCCCTGGCCCCAGCCCCAGCTCCTTGCCCCTCACTGACTTTACCTCTAACGTCGTTTCTGGCTCCAGCTCCAGCTCCAGCAGAAGCTTTGGTGCCTCCAGCTCCAAGGGTAGCTCCCGGGGTAGCTCCAGCGGTAGCTCCAGGGGTAGCTCCAGCGGTAGCTCCAGTTCCAGCGGAGGCTTCAGCTCTGGCTCTGGCTCTGTGTCCCGGGTGAGTAGGCTCCAGAGTCTGAGAGCTGCATTCATTCCCTTCCTCTCGCTTTTTGGGGACCTGGATATAATTTCATGGATGGCTAGACCTGAGCACTCTAAAAGATTTACGACTCCCTTTGTTAACTGTAGGCGCCATGGAAATGAATTAAAACCTGGGTGAAATAATTAAATTGTTAGCAAGAGAGATGTCATCTGGGTTCTCCAGCAGACTTTCAGGAAACAATCTAAGCTTTAAAGAGGGTCTCTAACCTGGCTGCACTTTAGAGTGGGAGGAGGGGGGGAGGGGCGCTCCAAAAGCAGAGATGCCCAGTCTATCCTCTGTGAGAACTGCTAGGGAAGGGGCCCCGCCTGGGCTAGCTCCAGAAAAGTTTGTCCAATTAATTTACCGCCCAGCAGGGCCCCTGCGGAGGGTGAAGGAGAGCCCTGGAGGGAGTGTGAGCCACAGTGCTCTCATTGAGCCTGGTTTGTAAAGGAGATGGGCAACAGAAGTAGGGGGAGGAGACATTGGCCTCTAGGAAGGTGTTATTACACATAGATATTTTCCCAGAGGAGTAATAGTACTCTTTCAATCTTCCTTGTAGGGAATTTTTAGAGCCATTTTTAGTTCAAAACAGCAGAAGTAGCAACAAGGCAAACCATGTACTAGGAAGAAACTGGTCCAGCTGGAGGCTACATCACCAGAATGCACAGTGAGCCCAGTTCTTTGGGGAATGAGGCCTATGGACCTCCTTTAAAGAAATAGAAAGAGGCATGGTGGGGTGAGAGATGAGAGGGCAAGAAGAAATTCCTCTCAGCTCTGGGCCTTTCAGTAGGAGCTTTGCTCTGCAAAACCTAGGCTTTCCGTGCTCAGGTGTGAATTGGGGTGGGGAAGTCTTAACCCCCAGAGCCCATTCTGCATTTCTATGATCTTTACTCACAGGTCAGGTCTTATGTGATCCTGTCTGAATGGAAGGGCCAATGGGAAAAGGGGAGGAAAAGACTTTTGTTTGTTGTTTTTGTTTTACCACCCGGGCTAATATAAGCAATACAAATTTATTGATTAAAAAATTGTTTGGATAGGACCCAGATAGAAATGGCAGGAATGGTGTTCATTGGGTGCCTAATAAATGCCAGGACTATGTTAAGTACATATTATATATTATCTTATTTAACCCTAAGAGGTATATAAAATTAATGTTCCCATTGTAGAGATGTGAAAACGAGGCTTATAGAGGTGAAACCATTGGCTAAGGTCACTAAGCAAGCAAGTTCTGTAGCTCAAACGCCCATGCTCCTCACCATCTCTCTCTATGTGGCTTTCTGTATTTTCAAGGCATATAGATGAAAACTACTTATTTTTAAGAGGCAAATGCTTTGGGAATCAGGATTATGCACAAAGATTCTTTGTAGCCAGAAATCAGATGCATCATTTTATTTCATTTAACTAAATGATTTTCATGGCGATAATTATAATTTAACATTTTTTAAATGAGACAATAATAATAATTTATTTTGAAACTTCATCACCAATCAGAAACTGACATTTGAGTAAGGCGATTAGCTAAAATAACAGAAACTAAAATATAGGTCAAGAAACAGAGAAATCCAAAATACCTATTATCTGATAAGGGGACGAATATCTAAAAGTAGATAAGAAATGGTAGTTAAATTGTGGTTAGAGGTTTTAATTTCTTTCCTGGTTTGCTTATCTTCCTCTGGTGAGTCAGGATTATAACGCCAACTTCTTTTTTACAGCAGATAGCAAGGTGTTACTTCCACTGTAAACCCAGTTTTCTAGGGCTGGCTGTCAGCTTGATGAGCTCTTTGGAAAATGGTGGAAAACCCCTTCATAACTGTCATTGAGCAAATTCCAAATGTATCATTTTCGGTACTTTGAAAATGTTGAGTGCCATTATTTTATGCCTTGAATCTTCACAGGCACTTAGACTTAGCTGCTAATTAGAGCCAATTGCAACCTCAAATCACAAATGTGAGGCGCACCTTCTGCTGTAGTGCTCAGAGCACTCTACATGCCTCAGGTGCCGCCCTCCAATGAAGGGGCCGCCATCAGGGTCCTCATTTCACAGATGAGAAAAGGCTCCACGCTTTGCTCCACACAGTAACTGGCAGAGTCGGAACGGGAGTGAGGAATGTACTTTTGCCATCAGGCTAAGGGGCTGTTGAAAAAATGGAGGCTTTCACCATGAACATGAGCCTGATTCCCTTGTCTATCTCTCTAACACAGAGCTTGGCACATTGTAGACACCAGTAAATGTTAACTGAACACATGCTGAGTTAGGACCTACCAGTAGAAGGTGTCTTGTAGGGCATTCAGGGTCCTATTTGCCCTCCACAAGGGGCATCACATACCTTCCCAATAACTAAAGGACAAGCACTTGCCTTTGTCGTCCATTCCCCACATTACACACACAGAGTTTAAGCATTCACCACAGAGAGAGACCCATCACCATTAGCTTCATTGTCTTTGAATGCGAGGAGCAAAAATATCTCTAATGGGAGACACTGATCAAACTTATGGACCATTTTGATGTCAGCTGAGCACGCTGGGCTGATGATAAGCAGGGTGGCAGCTGGGGAGTCCGCAGCACTGGGACAGAGATGTTCAATAGAAGCCGGTGGAATGACTGTCAGCAGGGCTCATAATTATTTGCCTGCCTTTCAGGTGAACTTCAGGATTAAAAGTTGTTAGCTAGTGGTTTCTAGTTGATTGTCTGAGACTGCTTGATGACCGGCAGTGTTTTTTGAGTTGACAGAGCTTTTCACAGAACTCGAAGAATGGTCCAACCGTGCCTTGTGCAGCTAATTAACCTTCCCTTGTCAAAATGCAATGTAAGACTTTTTTTTGCACAGTTATTATAATAAGCTATTTCTTCAAAAGCCCATGATATATTGGTCCTTCTGTAAAAGGCTTGGCATGCTTGAGCTGGAGTCTTTCTATCTTCAGAGGGAATTATAAAGCTGGTTCCGAGGAATGCTGGCCTCTGTGACAGGTTCCCAGTGTGGCTTGTCCAGTCCTATTCATCCTGGCAAAGACCTTCAATTCCCCCTTCCTAGCCCTGGTGTTCAGCATAAACCTGCTTGTCCCTCCTCCTTATTCTGCAGCTTATGTAGGCGTGGGTGTGATTGGGAAACAGAAATTGAGGGATTGTCAGGATTGACTTGGCATAGCAGTTTGGGGTACAAATTTATATATATATTTGCAAAAGCCAGAGATCACTGATGGAATAAAAGCATCTAGGTCCAGCTTGCTTAGGAATCATGGAGGTTGGTGGACATTAATGCACAGAACTCACAACCTTAGCTGCAGCCAGCCGACCTAATCTTTGAGAGGAGTAGCCTGGATTTATTTCACACTCTGCAAACCATTGCTCTCCCCTTGATAGTTTCAGAAACAGATACTTTGGGTTGAGGTCCACAGGTGAGCTTTGGGCTGGCGGGCAGATGTGATCAGTGAAAGGCACAGCCAGGTGGCTGCTAAGAGTTACTCTGCAAAGCAATAGCAGTAATAAAAAGTGTTAATTGTGGCAGGATCCCATTGGGGAAGTTCAAAGGGGACAAAAGAAAAACCACATCTTTCAAACATGTCATTTTAAAATATGCAGTGGCGATGAAGTGTGAGCCTGAATATTTTAAAGAAACATCCGATATTTTAAAATGGCTTTTCTGAAAGTGGTAAGCTGGAAAACTTTAAACATTTGCACAAAACCTTCAAACTCATAAATTGTTCAGTTTTTTTAACAAATGGCTGGTTTGTTTTCACTTTGAAGGATGCTAATTATATCATTTCCCAGGTGAAGAGAGGATATGAATTTGCATTGTGTATTTTCACTGTAACCCATATCCTTGATGTTTTCCTCATTCCTATGGTTGGAGGGGGGGATTGGGTTGGGGTTTGGGTGAAGGTGAGGAAAAGAAAATGAGTAAGTAGAAGGAAAAGGAAAGTAACATGTACTGACCGCCTACCATGTGCCCTGGAATTGGTTTACATCACGCAGTTAATTTGAAGAACAACCTGGGAAGTAAGTCATCTCTTTGCAGATAAGGAAACCGAGACTTAAAGAGGGAAGTGACAGGTACGGTAGGCTAAATAGCCATCTCAGATGGTGACTAAAGAAAAACTGAATTTATTTAGGGGAAGAGGGTGAGAAATGGGGTATCCAAAGCAAGGGCTGCATAGCACCGAGCCAAGGGGACATTGGGTCAATGGTGGCAGCACCCAGGAGCTGGAGTTTCATCCTTATATGCAGTCATTGGCGGGAAACTTCTGTCGTCTGTGGGTTTGGGGGCTAAAGGGGGTGGGATTGGAATGCAGATGGAGTGCAGATGTGTAATCAGGTGCCTTCAGGACAGTGTCTATTCCTTGTCTGGTCTGACTCCTGGTATCCAGCAAGCTTTTTTCCTGGTCTCTTGTTCTCCTGTGTAGGGAAGCTTTCAATGACTATTAAGGATTATGTTGCCTCATAGTCTTGTCAGATAAGTGGTAGAATTGGAATTTAAATTTAGGACTCTCATTCATTCTTTATTTCCCTTTCCTTACATAGAGACAGTAATAGTTTCCTTTAAGGCTCCTCAAGAAAGGAGAATCTTCTTTTAGATACAGGTGGCTAACACAGTGGTTTAGCCCAACAGGTGGGGATGTGGCTAAAATGCTAAGAGTAGTTACTGCCCGTGACTCATGGCAGTTGTAGCTTGTTTCTATGATTCTATTCATTTATGTATTGGACGCCACTTGCTTGCCTCTAAGCCAGTGGTTCTCAACCTTGGCTGCATATTAGAATTACCTGGGAATCTTTTTAAAATCCTGATTTCTGGGCCTCATCCTCCGAGGATTTTAAAAAGATTCCCAGGTAATTCTAATGTGCAGACAAGGTTGAGAACCACTGCTCTAAGCACTCTTTTGACAAGCCAATTTCTGTCACTCCAGTTGCCAAAAAGCTCATTTCTCAGCTTATTACTGATGTTGAACTTATTTTTATTTACAGTTTTCCAATTTCACCGGCTCCAAGGATGACCGCGGGACCTGCCTGTGCTCTGTTGCCCTGCCAGACACCACATTCCCCGTGGAAAGAATGGAACACTTGGAAATCACAGCACGCATCCTCTCCCAGAAGTTCGAGAAGGAGCTTTCTAAAGTAAGCATTTTCCCCTCTCCCAACAAGGGGAAAATAAGAACAAACAAACAAAACAGAAAACTTTAAAAATTAAATTTATTGGGGTAACATTGGCTAACACCCTCATGTGATTTTCAGGTGTACATTATAATTCAACATCTGTGTACTCTATGGCATGTTCACTACTTGAAGTCTAGTTTCCTTCCATTGCCATATATTTGACCCCCTTTACCCACTTCACCCTCCACCCACCCCCTTTCTCTTCTGGAACCACCATTCTGTTTTCTGTATCTCTGAGTTTGCCTTTGTTGTCAGTTCACAAAACACTTTTATTCAGGACTTTCTAAGCAGCTGTTCTTCACGGTATCACAGACAGCATGTTTGCATCTCTGGAGGCTTTAGCGTTTATTTACAGCACACCTGTGGAGTTCTTTACAGGAGGAGAAATGAGGGCATGGAAGACATGGGATGGGGATTCTTCACGCCATGGATACACTAATGTCAGTATTGCGGTGCTCATGCCGCTGGAAAGGGGCCTGGAGCTCTCCCTGCAAACCCCAAACCTACAACCGTTTTTGTTTCATTGCTTTTAATTCCTTTTGGTCTTCTTCTTGGTCTTCCCTCCAACTTTTCTTTCTTTTATCTCCTCTCCTCTATCCTCTTTATGTTTTATTTTATCTTCCCTTTCTTTCACTTTTTCTTCTTATTCCTTTACTCCTTCCCTTTAAAAAAAAAAATTCTCTCTCTGCCTCAGTCCTTTCTCTTGTCCATTCCCCCTAATCTTTCTTTCCCTTTCCTTAATTTTTTTTAAAGCTCTTTTTGGTTTTCTCTTACTTTTTGGAAGGCCCCTTCTCTTTCTCTTCCTGTTCCTCTTCCTTCTCCTCCTTCTCTCCCCCAAATCTTCTGCCTCTTATACTCCTACCTTTCTTAATCTTTTTCTTTATCTTCTTATTTCCTCTTTTCAATTTACTTTTTTTCCCCTCTCTTCTTTTGGTGGTTATCATTTATTGTCTCAGTGGGAACAGTACATTAGGCATGTCCAGCATTAGACCAAAAATTAAGGCTTTCCTGGGAATCTGAATCAAGACTAAAAGGTCACTCAGCCTCGGTAGAGACCTTGACTCCACCCCCTGATTAGCCCTTTCCTCTAGGGGAGGAGGTTGTCCTGCAGGGCCTGCCTTCCTCTGAACTGGCTGGAGCAATGGGACTTGGCATTCCAGTTTTGACCCTTTCTACCTTTTTACCCAACTTAAAAATCAATTAGAAAGGCCCCCATTTTCTGCACAGGAGAAGTTCACGCTAGGCTATTATCACATTATGCATTATTAATTACAAATCCATTAATTTACAAGGAGCTCTGGCCTACCTGCAAGATTCAAAATAAGTTTTCCTGAGACATTTAAGTTTAGCTACCACAATATCCAGCATAGTTATCCTTTAAGACAAAAATTATGGTGAAGCTGACATCCTGCTTTCAGCCTGAATTGGTAGATAAATATTCTAAATTTAAATGAGTGTCCAGGAAAATGTGTTTGACAACTCCAGGAACCTAGCTTTTTAAGAAGTAAAATGTCCTTGAATTAATCAGCAGAAAAGGCATAGCACTAAATTATAAATTCCAACCATTAATATTCATAGCCTTATTCCAGCATAATCAAGTGCAGATAAGAAGTTATGCATAAAAACATAACAAGTGGAGGAAAATCCTAGGTAAAGATCTCTTCAGTCAGAATCATTTGCTTTGAAATAGTGCAAGCTCCTGATTTGTATGTCTCCTCTGCTGGCAGGAGTGTGAAGGCAGTGTGAAGCCCCATGCTGCTCCAGAGAGCATGTAACTTGCCAGTTTGTGAATATGGGGCATTTAATTCCAATTCTGTGAGAGGGGCAGGTGGCATCTGCCTTGCTAATAATTGGCAGGGAGGGAGTTCGGAGTAGATGGGAAAACTTTCAGTTCTGAAAATGTCAGTAACTTGACCTAAAAATATTTGTGATTAAGGCCTAAGAAAGAAATAGTCCTGCCTGTTGAGATTTGCATATTAGATAGGTGTGACAGTTGATAATAAAAATAATGTTAACATGTTATGATTGTGCTTTTCTAAATGCTTTTTCTATTCTACTCTCAAGGCAGATAGGCCCATGTTTTCCTTCCCATTTTAGGGAGGGAAAAACTGAGATTCATAAAGGTAAAGAGACATAAAAGTAAAGGTCATTGCTCTCTGGGCTGGTTAATCCCAGTTCTCTTTCCTCTCAGCCATACTGCTACCATCCTCCAGTGCAGACCCAAGAAGAGAGGCAGTAGGTCACTAATGCCTTCAAACCCAAAGTTATCTCTTCAGCTGAGGGCTTTTGAATTTCCAGGTGAATTATTATAGCTGTCCCTAGGTTGCCTTGGAAATACCGTTTATCTAGAGGCCTGGGGGAGTGCCCATTTGGGCAGGCCAGTAGAAAAGGGTTTTCACTGCCTTTCATTGATTCATTATCTGCCAGTACACAGAGAAGACTTATGTCTCTGTCTAAGATGCTGAAAGCATTTTATACTTTTCTGTTGTTTATGGTATGTCCTCTTGTGACTATACTTAGGAAGGGGACGACACAAAAGGCAGCTCTGGATTTTATTTCTCTGGAAGGTTATGTTTTTTGGGTCAAGTTATTTAATACCAAGCATTGCTAATAGATCTTCATGCATGAGAAGGTTGAGGCAGCCTGCAAGACATTTAGGCAACTCATAAACAAGCAACATTGATTGACCAATGTTTTGTGTAGTGAAATATAATAAATTGAAAGGTCAGATTGAAAAAAACCAAAATCACTGTTTCACTAATAATTGCTATAATTTATTGGGCATCCATTATGCCAGACACTTAATACATATTATCTCTAGTCTTCACAATAATCTTGTATCTTGATACCTTTATCCCCAATTTATAGGAAGAAACTAAAGCTTAGAGAAATTAAGTGATTTGGTCAGATTAGAGTTCATGTGGGTGTAAGTCTGAGGTGCTTCATATGTTATGATGGTCAATTCAAGCTCATTTAATCTCATTGCATTATTTTGAAAGATATTATATATATATATATATATATACCTAAGCAACTATTACAACAAAACAACCAGAATGACTGGAACGACCAGTCACTATGATGTGCACTGATCACCAGGGGGCAGACGCTCAACACAGGAGCTGCCTCCAGCCCTTAGGCCCCAATTGCTGATGGGGCCTGTCGGCCAACCTCCTGGTCCCTCCCCCTGGCTGGCAGGTCCTGATCACCAGATCGAGGCTGAGTCCTGGGCTGGGACAGGGAATCGGGGATGGGTGGCGGTAGATGCAGGCAGCGAGGGAAGGAGAAGGGGGGGAGGCAGGGAGGCAGGGAGACAGGGAGGCAGGGAGGCGGGGAACCTGATCAGCCCTGATCGCTGGCCAGGCCTAGGGACCCCAACCATGCACAAATTTTGTGCACCGGGCCTCTAGTATATAATAAAACCCTAATATGCAAATCGACCAAATGGCAAAATGACCGGTTGCTATGACATGCACTGACCACCAGGGGGGCAGACATTCAATGCAGGAGCTGCCTCCTAGTGGTCAGTGCGCTCCCATAGGGAGGAGTGCCACTCAGCCAGAACCCAGGCTCACAGCTGGTGAGTGCAGCTGCGGTGGCGGGAGCCTCTACTGCCTCTGTGGCAGTGCTTAGGACATCCCCAAGGGATCCCGGCCTGCGAAAGGGCCCAGGCCGGGCTGAGGACCCCCCCCCCAGTATTAATATAAGAGTATGCTGCAAAGTACATTTACTTATTTCAAATAACCTGGCCATAGTTATGATCACAGATTTTGGAGAACTGGTAGAAACACGAGCCAGACTAATTCTTTAGTTTAATAGCCTGCTGTATTGCATCCTTATTTATTGCAGGACCTCATTTATTGTACAGAACAACAACAAACATTCCAGAACAAATCCCTAAACAAACTTTGATTCTTAGAACCCATCGATGACATAATATGTATACAACAAATATAAGCATGGATGCTCTGAATGTTAGACTCTGAACTGAAGGCCAGCATAGATGAATCTTCTAAAGCTCAAACTTGTAGTGATGAGGAGGAGTCTTGGGTAGAGATATTGACACAGGGATATATCTCCTTAAGACTAGACCTGCATTCCTGCCACACATCCTAGGGCAAGTTGGGCTGCCTCAGCTAAGACTGCAGCTTCCAGAGAGCTGGGATGTTCTCAGAATTTTCCATGCCATCTCAGCATTAAAGATTTGTACATGTGAAAGGTTTATACTAACAATCCACTTGGATTAGTAAAGTTCAGACGGTGAAGTTTTTCTGGTTTATCCTCAAATTCTCCCGTCTTCCAGAGCTCCATGGATGATTCCAGTTTTCCTGAACACCACGGAGCTTTTCTTTCTCTCTCAGCTGAAAGAACCTAAACCTTCCCCAGACAGATCTTCAGAGACCTTTCATTTAGTGGCCGAACTAGTGCCGGCACACCACACATTCTCATAGGAAACAAACTCCAAGTTATGCCTTGATTTTCAGAGAGAGCCGCATTTCATTTAGCACAGATGACAGTTGAGTCACTCATTTTTGTAGAACAACAGCTGCGACGTGCCACCCAAATGTTCCAGGAAAGCGGAGGGTGTTTCATTTGTTCTAAGATCTGGCAAGGCCAAATGCCAACGGAAATACTCATTTCACAAACTTTTATTTCTGCAATAGATTGGCACTTTATTATTATTATTTTACCATAGGCAAGGTTTTATGCAGAATTTTTTTTATTTTAGAAATTGAAACCTGGTTACGTTATATCTGTGTTTGTACTTTGGAGGGTCGCTTATTAGGTTTCATACATATATATGTGTATATATTTAACCTCCTTATCTGCCAAAATATCACCAGCCTGATCATCCTCTGGGTGATGGCACATCTGATGGCCATGAGCATCAGTTGCCCGAGGAGATACATGAGCAGTGCCAAGGGCTGCATTTTCAACTTTCATTAAAATCCTCTTCGCCTGGAGCCCTGGCTCTTTAGGTCTGCGCCCTATGAGTCCATACTAATTTGCACAGTGAGGTTAAGTGGAAGGGCTAAAATGACAGAAGTTAGGGCTGCCTTTAGTATTAGAAGGATTAGAGGCCAACATCTGGCCCTGAATTCATCCAGGCACAGTGGATCAGCTACTTGACATTAGCATGGTTTGGGGAAAAGTATCACTTATGTTCAAATTTCTAAAAAGAATGTAAAACCAGCAACTTATAATGAGCAGATCCTTAAAAAAACCCAAAGCCATGGCATTTCTTTTAGAGATCAGACACAGAAAGAACAAACTGTGTTTATTGAAATATCCATTTGGTGATTCCAATTATACGTTAAAATACCAAGGGAATTTTTGGAAGTATTTTAATGATAAGACATTTAAATATATGCAACAAATGTGTAATTTTAAGGTCTGATTGCAATTATCAGTTCTTGGAATAAATGTTGGTACATTTAATGAAATGTGCACTTTACCAGTATAGTTGCACATACACCTACATTCTATGTAGTAAGTTGAGTCTTTATGTCATTTTGTAAAAGGCAGAGGGGCTTAAAACTCATTGCATATGGTGACCAAGGAAAGAATTGTACTTAGTGCATTTCTTCTTCTAGAGCAGCGGTTCTAAATGGAGAGAGGGTGGTGGTAGTGGCGATGAAGGTGAATTTGCCCCCAGGGAACACTTAACAATCTCTGAGACATTTTTGGTTGTCACACCTCGGGGATGGGTGGGTGCCTTTGGCATTTGGAGACCAGGGATGCTGCTAAACATCCTGTAATATGCAAGAAAGCCTTCCACAAGAAAGAATGATCTAGCCCCAAATGTCAATAGTGCTGAGGTTAGGAAACCCTGATTTAGAGCATGTGCTTTGAAGGGAGAGTTGATTCAAACAGTTCAGTTTGGAGAGCTGATATCTTCAAATATTAATTCAGAGATAAAAATGTACTTGCAAAAGATGATTCTGAAACAAAATTATTTGTAGTCTATATAAGTGCAAAATTCACCTCCCCAATTGTAGTAATTTTTTTAGCTTTGATTTGGCTAGATAAAAACATATATTGTGAAATATATTTTTGATCCATTTCTTTAATGCTTAACAGCAATCAAATTGCCTCCAAGGGTGTGGTAGTGGAGGAAGACTGTATGATCCCACTCTGAGAACTGACTTGAGGTTTTTTTATTCCATTTTAGGTCAAAGAGTATGTCCAGTTAATCAGTGTCTATGAAAAGAGACTCTCAAACCTAACTGTCCGAGTAGAGATCATGGAAAAGGATTCTATTTCTTACACTGAATTGGACTTTGAACTGATCAAGATAGAAGTGAAGGAGATGGAGAAGCTGATCATCCGGCTGAAGGACACTTTTGTTGGAAGCTCAGTAATTGTTGACCAGCTAGAAGTAGAGGTAAGGGGTGAACTCACTTCTCAGTGTATTAATAATAAATGTCCTCAGTTATCAGTGGTAGGTTGAGGATGTACAGATCTCTTTCTTCCGACTTCTAATTCTGCACTCTCTCATGATCATGTGACATATTCCGGTGTTCTGCTGTAGATGGTAAGTTAAAGACAAGGGGGACACACTGACTGAGGAGCAGGTGCCAGCTAATGATCAGGGTCCTGCCCCAGAGCCAAATGGCATTTACATGTCTCTAGAAAGGAGATGACATAAAACAACTTTGTGGACAACATAGATCAAGTGTCTTCTCTGTTCTGGATTTATCCTCATGGGACTAAAAGCCACATTTTACCCGATTTTGGACTCACTAGATCTGTTTCTCCTTTTGGATGATCATGTAATCCTTGATCCCTCTTGGAATTTCTTTCTACATACTGGCAACCCATTTTAAAGGAGGTTCTTCTGAGCATGTTTTAGTGAAGCCTTTTAAACTCTGTGGATAAAGACCATGGTTGAGTCATTTATATCAATGAGAATTTACTAGCACAGTCATGACATAGGCTATAATTGAGAATTCTAGTCACATATTTTAGAATTTAAGTTTTTTCTGGCTCTCACCACTCATTAAAAACTTAATTATGATACAACAGGAGTAAACACGCGTTTACAGAAGAAGGTTATTAGAAATGAACATTAATGGACATTTGTGGATGCTTAAGATGGAGCCTGTGCTCTATTATTGAAGCTGTTAAAATCTTTGCCATTTTCTTCTCGTCACACACATCTGCCTGAGATCTGACAGGCATTCACGCAAAACCATAAAATGTATTCTTCCAAATGAAACCATTCAGAAGGATCTCGGGTGTATTCTCTAGCGATGTTTCACTAAGTGACAAATTCAGCCTTGGAATGTTTATAAAAGAAATTGCACAATAATATAAAGTCACTATGAATTTTTATTTTCTTAGATAAGGAATATGACTCTCCTGGTAGAGAAGCTCGAGACACTAGACAAAAACAATGTCCTTAGCATTCGCCGAGAAATCGCAGTGCTGAAGAACAAGCTAAAGGAATGTGAAGCCTCTAAAGGTGAAAACATCCCTGTTGGCCCCCCTCCTCCAGCTCCAGGTAAGCATGTCACATTTCTACCACTTGAGCCAGGCCCCCAGGAGCCTAGAGCAGGGTGGGGAAGGGATTCGGATTGTAACCCTAAGCAAGGATGGGCGTTTGCAGTCCTGAGTTTACCCTTCCATCTCTTAGATCTCCTTCCCTAGTAGCTTTACAAACTATCACATTCTGGAGCTCACAAAGGAAAAGCACGAACAATGAATTGATTTAAAGCAAAATCCACATGTTACATATATCCTCTCTGCATTTATGAATAGGACAAACATCCCTCCAGTGACAGAGTTGCTATCAGGGGGCCTGTGAGAGGGTCTGGAATCTGCATGGCCTCCTCCTTCTCTGTGGGTTGTAAGGGCTGATTAGCTCCTTTAGCTGATGAGCTGGGGTTATGACTTGAATCTAAGAGTGAGAAGAAGGAAGAGGGAGAGAGAAAAACATCCATCGATTGCTGGATCAACCCTGCAACCTGGGTATGTGCCCTGACGGGGAATCAAACTCAGAACTTTCAGTGTACGGAATGACGTGCCAACCAACTGAGCCATCTAGCTAGGGCTCTCTGTGCTCTTCTTAAGTGCATGTTGAACACCTGCTGTATAGTGTGTCCTGGGATTCAGTGAGGATTTAACGGGGGCCCCACATGTCCTATACTTGTGGGTGTCTCCTGTTGTCCCTCCTGGACTGAGTTCCTGGAGGGCAGAGGTGGCATCTCACTCTCTAATGAATCACACTTGAGGCATAGCATAAGTACCCTGTGAATGCGAATGGAGGCAGTGGAGTGTAGGGGCCAGGAGCATGGTTTTGGGTCCTCAAAGACCTGAACTTCCCAGCTATGTGACCACAGTGAAAAGATCCTTAATCTCACTATAAGGTGGGAGAATAGTAGTGCCTGCCTTGCAGGGTTGCAGGGTTGCTGTTAGGGTTAACTTGAGGAGCTCAGAGCTCTATGATCGGCACTTATACTCTGGCAGTTGTTATTACTAACGAGGATCATTGAAATGAAAACCTTGCTGCGAACTAAGGCAGGGCCAGGTTCTTGGCGCTTCAGCACTTCCCTCCTGCGAACGGAAGCCAGCCTCTGCTGCAGCAGTCAGCCTGTCCTTTAGAGACACCTTGTCACAGGGAAACAATTGCTACAGGCCGTGAGCATCCCCATCTGAATGAGGACTATCTTTTCATCAAATGGCCAGCTTTTGTTATTTTCATCAATTCCTATTGTCAAACCTGTTTCCTTTTAGGCCCCGAGTTTCTGGATCATTGTCAGTGTGGCTGGCTTCTTTAAGGCTTTAATTAGATGCTGCCATAGTTTTAAGCCTCTTGGTCCTGTTCCTTCTGCTGTTGGGAATCTGTAGGAGTGTGACATTCAGAGGAGGTTTAAGACAAAGGCCATGTTCTGGCCTCTGTAACAAAGTGAGGCTCAATTGGGTCTGGGATCAGTGGTGTCAACATACATTGTAAATGAGAGCTCCTTGTGCTAGGCAACCAAGGGCTCCTTGAGAGCAAGAGTCGAAGCATTGACACCCTCTGGTAATACCTGAGCAAGACTTTCTTCCTTTTTTCTTCTCTTTCTTTTTTTTAACCTCAGCAAATCTTCCTCAGGGAATAGATTTTTCTGGCACAGTTTCCTATGCATCCCTTAGATCGAGGACATTGTGGAGCAGCAAGGAACATTCAAGGTCACCTAGCCCAGGCCCATCATTTCTCAGAGGAGGGGACTTAGATGGTGAGGACACTGCTTTTCCTGAGGCCACATAGGTGGTGACAGAGCTGAGGCTGAAATGCAAGGCCTTCCCTTCTTGGTCATCTCAGGACCTACAGTGTCAGGCATCAATAACTCAATGGTAGTGATGCGGGAGAAAGAACACTGATTAGTATCTAAGGAGGAAAACAAGTGAGTCTGTTGAATTATTTTCGTCAGAATACTTTCTCCCAGAACTTTCCCGTAGGTCCTCACACTTAGACTTGTGTCAGCCACCCCAGCCCAGCTGTGTTGTTTAAGCAAATTGGACCCAGATTTCCTCTCACTTTCCTACAACTTTGGCTGTTTCTGGATCCCAGCCAGGCCACTTGGCCCTCCTCCAGCTTTGTTCATATTATATTTATGATGTTTATATTAAACTGACTTTTTGTCATGCTTTTAAATCAATTTCTTTCACTTGCTCTCTTTCTGTTTGGATTGGTTGATAATGCAGAATTGAAAAATCCCCAGGCTCCACCAAGTTGTGAGCCTGTGGAGACTTTAATTAAAGTTCCTCGCTATTATGGGACTTTAAAATCTGGCCTCTCTGCTGTTTGGACTGCAGAGTTGTACTGAACAAAAGAGCTTGCATGCAAGTCTCAGCTCTGAAGTCATTCTGTGCCCTCTTGGCCCCTCCCTTGCAGCTGTGGCTTGCTATCCCCCTGGTCAGCTTGATCTTAGAACCAGGACATGCAGTGAGGGTTCAATAAAGTGCACTTTGCATTTGCTTTATGCTGCAAATGGCATCTTTTTCTGCTTCATTTCATAGAACTTCCTAATCTAAAATAATTGGCCTTCTGCTCATTAACTTTTTTCCTGAAAACAACTGACTCTGTTGCTCTGTTTCCCCCTGAATCTAAATGACTGCATAGGCAAAATGTGATGGAAACATTCAGGGCTTGATCACCATTGTGCTCAGGAAGGTGCTCAGTAAATGGTTGGTGACTGACTAGGGTGTGAAAGATTTGGGGTGACCTGCCAAAATCACAAGCCTAGGGGAAGAGCAGAGTGTTGGGTAGCATATATCCAATAATTCAGGGTCAATTTAGTTTTAATTATTTTATAATTATTACCATTTTAATTGCCTAATTTTTACAAGTCAATTATATTCTCCTTTTGGCTCAAAGTTTACTTTGTCCAGGTGAGAGAGCATATTGATAGATCTAAGATGAAGTTTCTTCTGCAGGTATATAATCTTCAGCTTTAAAGAAAAGTGCTAACCATGATACTTTATAAAAGCCAAGTTATAGAATTTAAAGTTTCATCATGTGGCTCCCCAGGATATTTTCAGAATGCCATGGCAATAGCTAATGAATTACATGGTGAAGAGATTGCCAATCAAGGCTACCACTGTGTAGAGGTTCCTTGTATGATGTTCTAGGAAGTGAACACCAGGGTCTTCAAAAAATTCAGATATATAGCAGGGGAGAGGGCTGATATTTTATAAATAAGGGTAGATAAACTGGTTTTGAGAGATTTGATTGGTGATTTATTCCCTTATTCCACAAGCACTGTAGGGCTGGCCCTGTTCTGAGTACTGGGGTTACCAGGATGGGTATAAAACCACTATCCAGGAAGGGAGACAGTCACATAGACCTTCAGTAGTAACATGATAGTTACCATTCATTGAGTTACATGTACCTACCTTTTCTTTATTTCTCTGAACAGTCCTGCAGAGTCGGTATTAGTATTTTTTTTAGAGGTTAAGTAACTGCTCAAGGATACACAGCTAATAAGTATTGGAGTCAGGACTGAATTGGAATCTGCCTGGTAATATTTTCATTGTACCAGGCTGCCTTCCATAGATGCTCTGATAGAGAGAGGTACACCTGTGACTCCTGGAATGACAAGAAAGCTCCAGTAATTCACCAACCAGATTAATACCAAATTACCCTCTCTTCCTTGCTTGTGGAGGAGCTAAAGGGGCACTTTTGCTCTCAGTTCTATCTTGTGTTCTCTTCCACCAGAAAATGCAAAATGATTCATTGTTTTTTCACAGTTCTTGTGTCATGGCTGGGCTATGGGTTGTTATGCCAGTAGCAGGGTAAAGTTAGGATAGAGGGGTAAGGAAGGGAATGGAGTATCTCTAACATACTCCTGAAATGAAGGAAGAGACCGGGAGGGGGGTCAGTATAGGGGGATAAGGAGAAGCTTAGGGTAGGTGAGTAGGTGGGGGCAGGGTTGGGGACTCTGGCTGGGCTGGATGAGCAGTGGGTACGGCTGTCAGTTTCAGCATTGTTTCCAAGAACGTTTGCTGCCAGGACCCAGGGAAGTCCGCCATAGCTTTGCACGGCTATAGCCACATCTGTAGTATTGGCAACAATGACTAGTTTTTCCCCTGAATTCACTGTTTACCAGAGCCAGCATCCTAAAAATGGCCCAAAGGCGATAGAGGATAAAGTAAAGATAACAAACAAAACAAAACAAAAATAACAAACAGGAGATTATTTAGGAATGTTTAGGAGGTGAGGAAAAGAGATTTAAGTTCATACAGTTTTAATATTTATACCAGGTATAATTTCAATTTCCTGGCCAACATGTGAAGTGATGAACCATTACTATTATTAGTGCTAGTAGTAGTGCTAGTGATTTTAAAGAAAAGATTATTTTGGTTCCTTCATATATAAGGATTTCCACATCTAGGACAGAGTAGTTTATTATCTTCAACCCCATGGTGATGATTGAATTAATTATATGCATCATAAATTTTCTTTAAATATTTTTTGGCTATTGGCTTGGGATATTTCCTTTCCAGGAAGGCATGATTCAATTAAGCAAACAATTCCTTTCCCAAGTCTTCTAACCTGCAAGAAAAAAGTGACTTTCTTTCATTTCCTCAGAGTGAAAGGCAGTTGAATAAATAAGTTCTTAGAAAGATATTTTAACTAGAAAATTCAGTTTGTAGCATATGAAAACTCGAATACTTTTTGTTATCATTAAACTGAACATACCGCTAACTTTATTTTAATAATTTATACATTGTTTCATAAACAAAAGCAAACAAGCATTCATCTGAGAGATCACTTTTAGGAGAAGAAATAATAATTTATAATTTTATTTATTATTTCTTTAGTGGGAGCAGTCTCTTGGCTGAACACATGTTGCTTTTTTATTTATGAAATGGCGCATGCATTATTAAAATAAACCCACGACTGTGTTCTGCTTAATGATATGCAAAATTATTTGAGGTTGGGTACAGAGTGGTTTCATTTCTCTACCTGTTGTATGGTTGGCTGGCTTTCCCACCAACTGCAGATTTATGAGAGCATTTAAGGAGCACGTATTTAATTCTGGGACCAAAAAACACCAGCAGATTGGAAAAACAAAAGCAGGATTTCTAGTAATGGTTTCACCTCTGAGCAGTCCTTGAGTGAGGTGGGGAGAGGGAGAGACATTTAGCAAGGAGGAGAATGGGTCTGGAGCAGAGACTCCAAGGCAAAGTTTTACACACCCCTTACCCCCAACCCCCCCAATGCTAACCTCAGGCAATTCTTTGGAGCTCTGCTTTTGGCTCCAGCTCACTTCATATGCTCTCCAAAGCTCCCCGATTCCCTCCAAGCATTTAAAGCCAGAGCCAGAAATTCCGGTTCTGCTCCCTCCTCTCTCACCTGCTCTGTTCCAGGCAGCAGGATGAGGCAAAATGTCCTAAAACGTACTTGAAGTTGTAGTATTTTTTTTGTGTTATCCAAGACACAATCTCACCCATTTTTAAGGGTATTTATTAAGAGCCCAGAAAAATGTGTGTTCCACTCTTTGAATATTATTATAAAAATATGAACGGATTCGTGCACAGGTGGGTTCCCTCAGCCTGGCCCGCGCCCCCTCTCAATCCGGGCTCCATCAGGGGATTTAGCAGTGATGAAGCAGCAGGCTGCCGGGGAGGAGCCCCAGCCAGGACTGGGCATGGTTCCTGCTGCTGCCACTCACTCGGCTGAGCAGCGCTCCCGCTGTGGGAGTGCACTGACCACCAGGGGGCAGCTCCTGCATTGAGAGTCTGCCCCCTGGTGGTCAGTGTGCATCATAGCAACTGGTCGACTGGTCATTCCAGTTGTTCGGTTGTAAAAACAGTTTGGGCTCACAGGCATTTTAGAGGAAATGCAAGGTGAAGGGCCATTTACCCAGCCTGAGTCATTCACCCAAATGTTACAGGGGATATCAATTCAGTGGACCAGTGAGTCTGGTCCCACTTGACTATATACATTGTGACAACGACAGTATATAATGGGAATGATGAGGCACTTGCCTGTCATTCTGTGGTGTAGTACAGCGGTGGCCAACCTTTCGGACCTCATGGACCACCAGTGGTCCGAGGACCACTGGTTGGTGACCGCTGGTGTAGTAGAACACAGGTGACAAATAGCAAGACCCTCCTTATAACTCTGCAGCAAGATAATCACCAAGTGATCTATGTGATGGGCTATGCTTTGGGCACAGAGCAGGCAGCGTTGCCCTAAAATAACTCCCATGGCTTCTCAAGGCTGAAATCCCACCATTATAGAACCATCTTTCTGTATCTTAAAATATCACATTTAAAACTTCTTTGATTAAGATTAGCTTGGGGAAGCCTTGGTACTGGGTGTGGATATGCACTTGGAGTCCAGGCAAAGGGAGAAAGGTGAAGGGAAAGGAGAGTTGCCTGGGACAATCTTCTCCTTCATCACATTCTTCCTGACCCTGGCACCTTCTGGCTTTCTGGGAAAGAGTAAGATTCAGGGATGATCCTGCTATCTTGATTTTTCTATAAGAAAAAGGAAATAAAATACTATTTGCAAAATGCTCCCTGATAGAAGAAGATATATTAAATTCCCCAGTCCCCCGTTTCTGTCTTTGGGCCGTCCCTCTAATCTTGGCAGTTTCATTATCCCCATTTTCCAGATTGAGAGCCAATCCATGGAAATAAAAGGTAAGTTCTCTGTGGAGCTGATAGCAGGTTTGCACTGAGACTGAAACCAACAGAAGGTTTTGGCTCTTCTCCATTAGAACCACTGTTGTCATTGAATTTCAATAAGACAACTATTTATGCCTTCCTTTAGTTCTTAGGATATTGAACTGTTTGTATCTTGTTGTTCATTTTCTCTAAGAATACCCTTTTGTTTTCTTGTTTGTATAGGGACATGTGCTCACGGTGGTGTGGTGAACATCAGCAGACCTATTATAGTTCAGCTCAACTGGAGAGGGTTTGCCTACAAGTATGGTGCCTGGGGCCGGGATTATTCTCCCCAGAATCCAGACAAAGGGCTGTATTGGGTGGCACCTTTGAATACAGATGGGAGAATCTTGGAATATTACAGACTCTATAACACACTGGATGATCTGCTATTGTATGTAAATGCCCGAGAGTACAGGATTCTGTATGGTCAAGGTAGTGGTACAGCAGTTTACAAAAACAACATGTATATCAACTGGTACAACACCCGCAACATTGCCAAAGTTAACCTGACTACCAACACGGTTGCTGTGACTCAAACTCTCCCTGATGCTGCCTTTAATAACCGCTTTTCATATGCTAACGTTGCTTGGCAAGATATTGATTTGGCTGTAGATGAGAATGGATTGTGGGTGATCTATTCAACGGAAGCCAGCACTGGTAACATAGTGATTAGTAAACTCAATGACACCACACTTGTGGTGCTAGAAACTTGGCATACCAAGCAGTTTAAACCATCTGTTTCTAACGCCTTCATGGTTTGTGGGGTTCTCTATGCCACCCGTACTCTGAACACCAGAACAGAGGAGATTTTCTACTACTATGACACAAACACAGGGAGAGAGGGCAACCTACACATTGTCATGCAGAAGATGCAGGAAAACGTGCAGAGCATTAATTATCACCCTTTTGAGCAGAAACTTTTTGTCTATAATGATGGTTACCTTCTGAATTATGATCTTATCTTTGACCAGGAACCCCGCTAAACTGTTTAGGTATTAGGGCAAGAGAGAAATAAATATTAGTTGAAAAAATTCTATTCTCCACTTTTTTAGATACCTGCAAGGGGATCAGAAGTATATTTGCTTAGTACTAATATTTGGGAGCATAGTTCTACCATACTAGAGACTTAAGATATTTGTCCTGATTTGATTAGTTCTCTTGGAAGCCATCTGCCTCCTGCGATGCATTTCCTTCCTGAAATAAGGCCTTTCCAGGGTAGGGTTGTCAGGGGTCTGGGAACATTATGGACCCCAAAAAAGCCTTCAGTGCAGTGACATCTGGAAATGATGAAACTTAAAGAGGACTCTGTATGGCTTCTGGGGGCCTTTGTACAGCAGAGAGGCTCAGTGACCAGTCTCCTCCATGTACCCAAATAATTCTTTCATACCTGACAAAAACCTGGGGCCTAATTATGCAGAGTAATATCTGAAGCTCCTTGAAGAACCAAATCTTTAACTTCCTTTTCTTGCTCAAGCCTGAAAGAGTGTTTTGTATGGAGCAGATAAGTAAATTTAGCGTGCTTATATTTTATCTGTAAAATGCTCTGAGTTTTCTGGAGAAAAGCCTTTTTGTATATCAAAGCATACACTGAAAATCAACCCCATATGGATCTGCAGAAGAGGCTCTGGATTATTCCCTCCCCCTCCCATTGTCTACTTATATGAATAAGTAGAACCCAAAGATAGATTGGAAGATTGGAAACAGATTTGCCAACCAATTACTGCCTCCCATCTTCCTACATCTTCTTTTTTAAATAAAAATTAACCAGTTTTTTTTAATGGAACAGATATGAGATAAAATTATCTTTTCCCCCCCTCATCATGAATGTTTACTGACATGACTCTAAGACTGTAAGAAAATCAGATGGCAGAGACAAAATGGCAGCATGTCTGGTTATATAACAAAGCCCTTGGAGCACATGTGAGACTTGTATGAAGTCATATAAATTGTTTCATGCAATTTTTGTCTTTGTTTAAGACTGAAACTTGTAAGAAAATAATTTTTTTTTGAGGAAGAAATATAGAAAACTTGTTGCAAGTACCTCTTCAATCAATGCAGTTTGAAAACCTTGTGGGTGTATGTGCTTCTGTGCTTTTGGAGGCTTTATCATCTGGTCTTGGGATATTTTCCCCTAATGTTCATGAGTTCTGCTCTCTAGAACTGGCTCCTTCAATGCTGTACTCTTCTTCTTTTAATAAATGATTAACATGTGCTTTGAAAAAATTGTTGTCTTTTGTTTTTATTTACTCTTTTAATTTAATTAGAAAAAAAATCTTAATAGGATAGCTCATACTTTGCTGTGAGGCACAGAGAATGGCTACCTCCCAAACAACAAAGCCCGGGAGATCATATACATGACGGCAAATAACATTAATAGCTTTTAAAGGAGTCCAAAGTCAGGCTGGTCTTTTTATTTCCTTTTAAAATCCATTCTTTCTGGCAGCTTTTGTTGTATGAGACTGCACTCTTTTCTGTTGGGATATGACCTTATGTACTTATTAATTTGCATGACTGATCTGATTATTTCCAATGTTAGACTATATTTGTGTGGCTTATGTTCCTTTTCCAAATGAGCTATTAACATGGGTCAGGAACCTCCAGATCTTTCCAAAACAGGAGGTCTTGCACAGCAAGCAAAGGGACTAACTGGCCATACTAGGGAGAGAGTACCTTTATCAAAGAGAAGGTGGAAGGGACGGGTGACCCAGAGCTGGAAGGACAGACTGGCAAGGCTTGTGTAGTTAGTCTTACCAAAATGCTAATTTTTAATCCATGCCAAGCCTTTTAAGGCAGGTGGTAGCTGTAATATTTAGTATTTTTAGCAGGATTTTCCCCTGTCATTCAAAGCTAAACATAGAGACTAGGCATGGCCTTCAAAGTACAGCAAGATATGAAGATAAAGACAGGTATGTCATGTGAGATATAAGTTAAAAACAGGGATGTTATATTTAATCTGGCCCTAGGCAATTTTCCAGATGAATGTTTCTACTGAATACACAGTATGACCTCTGAAGATTCGGGAAAGGAGGCAGGAAGCCAAGGTAACTCTAGCAATCAGCTTCTTATTTAAACTGCTACAGAAGCATTTGCCTGAAAATTCCCTCCAGGACCTTGCCATTGGGCACAGGGGATCAGCCGGCAGGGGCTACCTGCAGAAAACCTCCCTGCTGGGAAGGTTGAACAACTGAATGGATTCAGGTTCCACGGTTTCCTACAAAAAGTTATACAATACAAATGTAGCTCTAATTCATCAGCTAGCTTTATTTTGGGAATAAAAAACAACAACTATGTATATATATTTAAATCAGCTTTATTGAGATGTGGTAAAATCTGCTAATTTTAAGTGTGTGATCAAATGAGTTTGACAAATGTATACAGTTGTCTCAAGGCTACCATAATTAGCCTATAAAACATTTTCATTATTGCCCCCCAAACCTTTCTTGTGCCTTTTTGTGGTCAACTCCTACCTCATGTCCTAGCCCCTAGCAACCGCTGATCTATTTTCTATCTCTGTGGAATCATACAATATGTAGCCTTTGAACCTGGCTTCTTCAGGTCTCCTCTTGAAAAAGGGAACTGTGGGCTCAAATTACCCCAGAGGGTGACTGAGCATTACCAGTGGCTCTGAGGGTTTCCTACATATTTATAATTTTGGGGGCCATTGGGGAATTTTGAAGAGCTGTGGTGACCTGCTTGCCTCTATAAGTGTTCTCTAGTTAACTGAAATCGCCAAGGGAAGGAGTTGTCTAGCTCTGGGCATCAGTCAAGCCTACCTGGCGAGACTTTCCAAACCTTGAAAATTCCCCAGCCACTGGTTTTATTCAATGTTTCTTGTCCAATCTCTACCCCAGTACCACAAGCATCTCTGCCTAGGTGAGTCCTGATACTAATTAATGATGCACAGAGGTTAAGAGTGTAGGATTTGGAGTCAAGCCAAACTGGATTTGACTCTTGGTTCAACTGTTTACAAGCAACATGGTGTTGGGCAGGTTCTTTAATTTTTCTGGTACTCAGTGTTGTTTTCTGTATAATGGGATAAAACCACCTACCTCAGAGTCTTATTGGGTGAATTAAATAGTATCTATATATATATGAAACCCTAATATGCAAATAGACTGAATGGCAGAACAACCAAACAACTGAACAACTGGTCGCTATGATGTGCTCTGACCACCAGGGGGCGCACGCGAAACATGGTGGGCGTCAGCAGCAGGCAGCAGAGCATGGAACATGGCAGGTGTTGGACATGGTGGGATAGTGGAGCAGGTGAGCAGGGGCACCAGACCAAGACGGGGCGCCTGTCACTGTCATTGGGGCGAGCCTCTGGTGGTTACTGAAAATTCTTTGCTCCCACACGCCCTGGTCCTGCCCAGAGCTCGCACCAGCTGCTAGAGCTGGCCCTGCTCGCACCCCCTGCCGGCGCCCAGCGCCAGCCCAAACTCTCAGCGCTTTCAGCAGGTGAGAGTGGCCACTGCCAGCCCTGATCGCCTCTGAGGGCTTCTTCACCTCCCCCTGCTCCTGAGGGGCGATCTGGGCAGCAGCCAGAGCTCGCACTGACTGATGGTGCTGGCCCTGCTTATACCTGCTGCTGGCACCAGCCCCAATCACTCCATGGCCATCAGACAGAGCACTGGAGGCCACGGTGGGAGGGGCCAGAGGGGGCATGGAGGATGCCCACCATAGCCTCGCAGCCCACAGTTCCTTTCAAGGTGCATGAATTCGTGCACTGGGCCCCTAGTTCAGTATATAAAGTGTTTAGCACAGTCTTTGTCACATGCTCTGTCCTGAACAGGAGTTATTATCCCTGTTTCTCATTTGAACTTTAGGTTTAAATTGGGCTGGCAAGATACAAGCTAATTGGGATCAGAGTTTACATTTTTCCCCCCTTTAAGACTTGTTGCAACTACTGAGTCTTTAAGCAGGTGCCCTTCTGGTATGAAAGAGTTCCAAAGGCTGGAACACCCTCTCTCTGTCTTTGACTCCACAACTGATCTTCAGAGCTTATGTTTTTCATGTTGTGACTCCAAGGGACAGAGCAACACGAGCAGCAGAAACTGAGGTGCTTTACCTTTCCTTTGAGCCACTGAAAGCCTAACCAAAGGCCAACTCTCATTAAGCCTCATCCCGGAACTACACACATGCACGTGCTCTCCTACATGCTGTGGTCAATGGAACATCAATCTTCTCTAAACAGGCGTAGGTATGTTTTCTGTACTCTACTTTTAGTAACATATATTTATCTTTTAAAGCTAGTTTGCACTGCCAGCCATAAGACTGTGTTTTCCTTCTCTTCTTGATTTGTGAGCCACTGAAAGGGAAATGACAATGTTTGGAGAGAGGGTGACTGTGTGGCTGCCTTCAGGATGATGGAGGGAGGTTCTGGGTGTGAGCCCCCAGTCATCTCAAACAGATGTCATACCATTAAGGATGATTAGCCTCCTGTGCTCCAGAATGTTCTGGAACAACAATAGGGTGAATCGTGACACATCAAAATATAAAAGGCAGGCACGTTTCTCAGGCATGCTCCCAGCCAGGGGAACAGACCAGCTGGCCTGGCTCATTGATGAGAGATGCTATTTGAGTTGTCAGCTCAGTTGCCAGGCCTCACATCTGTACCTCAGGATGTGCCCACTTGTCTCTGAGATCTGCATCTGCTCCTGGAATCCATTCAAAGGGAACAGCCCTTGGAATCAAGGTCCATGGAGGAGAAAGATGGCTTTCAGCCTGTCCAGATGGGAGGCTTCTCCTTGGATGCCACCCCTGGACATCCTGGAACCTGTGAGCCTGGTTTCCTAGACTAGACATGGGAATATTAAAAACAAACAAACAAAAACCTTTGGTGTGTTTGGGGTCTTCTAAGTGGTTTTTCTGGAGTTTTGTGTATGTGAAGGATGAGGATGGAATGATGAACAGAGGCCAGGGTTTATATGACATCAAAGGAATTTGGTCCTTTAGCCGCCACACAGGAAATTTTTGCTGAACCCCAAGGCTCTCCAATCTCCTCTCTTTTTTAGTTAGATTCTACCAACTCATGTGCTCCTTTTGGTTGTGGTCTATATTGTGCTTATGTCAGTATTGCCAGTGACTTGCTCTTTCACTTGTGGCTGTCATCCATCAGAGTTCAATACAGGAACAGAAACACCTGCTTTGAACTGGGGTGCTGCTGCTAGCTGCCACATTAGAGAAACATCACTATGCCAGTGACTTAGTAAATAGCAGGTTTCATCCCTTCACTTCAGTGACCAATGCTTTCACCATTTTGCCCTTGGTTGCTGCTTCTATAATATCTGCCTCATCCCCAACACCTTTCTTCCCCCTCACATGCCAGCTGTGGTTTTGTCTGGGGCCACTATGATGGGAGTGAGCTAGTCTTCCAAGATGACTCTCTTCTAAATGGTCATTCAGGTACCCAGGCTCATTGTGGCTGCACTATTACCACCCATAGCTCCCAAGGTCATTGTGCTTGTCTGCATCAGACAAGTAGAGGGGAGAAGAGCATGGAGGGTCTTAGGTGGAGATTGTTTAGTACAGGTCTGAAGTGGGTGCCCAACACTCCCACTCGCTATCCGCTAATATAGGGCCACACCCAACTGCAAAAGAACCTGGGAAACATTTAGTCTAGCTGGGTATACAGAAGAAAATAAATGGGTTGTAAGGAGAAAGGATTTAATGCAGAGAATTAGTTGCTTACAAATCATTGGAAAGACTGGAGGAATGGCAGCCAAAGGCTGCCATTTAACATTTGTCTTTGAGGTCACACCCGTGCCATCAACCCAGAAATCAAGAAACTGCATCTGCCACTGGTATCATCCCCACACCCTCCAAACTGGTACCAAGACATTGGAACATGGAGTCCATCTGCAGCCAACACTCATCTCTGCTGGTGCTTCTTACCCACTAGCACACCTGGAAAGCCTTCCACCTTTCAGGGGTTATACTGCCAAGTGGTTCTCATTGACTAAACCTAAAATTAGCCAAAAACTGGATCTATCCAGGAGACTGGAAAATGTAGTTGGAATCTTCCCTGCCCTGTAATATAAGGAAAGAGGTTGAAAATCAATGCCAGTGCCAATAGACAATATCTGGCAGCAGCCTCATTTGGTGACCACTGCTGTCACCATCACTACTGCTTCATTGTGTGTCTGGTGACTCTTCTGTCAGCGCCTCCTTCATCCCCTGGTGACTGGTCACTTTTTTTTAATGCTCACACCCATTG